ACAACTTCAGTGTTTTTTTTTTTCGTGCACAAGCTTCGTGACTTTCGTGACAGCTTTTTTTTGCAAAAAAAATGTTTTGCAGGACTGGATGCAAGCTGATTCCTACCTCTGTCTTTCTCCAACACCGAACATCAGTTTGCTACACTCAATCATCTACGAGGGCGCATCCACGGAGTTCTTATGAAGTTTAATTCTGCAAACGACAATCATTTTCATCCTCTATCTGCCGGTTCCTAGTCACTCAATCAACGAATCAGTGAATCACAATCGCAATTGCAATTCGTTTTATCACTCAGTCAGTCAATTAATCAAATACTATCATGTTGGCCCCATTGGATTAAAGTTATTTCCATATCTACAAACATTGGAAACAGCCAAGTAGAGAGAGAAAAAGAGAGAGGGGGACATTTGTGTTTGTCCAACTTTCTGTAATCAACAAGAAAAGGTGTAGTGAAGAGCCACAAACAACAGTTCAAGTATCTACCTACCTACCAACTTATCTATCAATCCGTGTCTTTCCTTGCCCCATCTTTGCGCCTGAGGCGCGTTGTCTTTCGTTCTGCCAATTTTTGTATCATCCCTCTCTCGGTGTTTCAATCGCTAACTCAATCCCCTTGTGTCCCTCCGCTCTCCTCCTCTCCGCCTTCTCTAGTAGTGTGTGTGTGTGTGTGTGTGTAGCTGTGGCTGTAACATCACACCTCATCAACGAATCGTGCATATATGGACACACACACACTCTCGTAGACACTCGCCTTGCATTTATCCATTTCCATCCTTTCCGTATGTGAGTGTACGTATGTATGTTTCAGCGAGAAAAACAATCATTGTGTAAACAGAACCCCTCACAAACACCCACCAATGGGTGTTTTTGTCTCCACTCTGATAGCAATGCGGATCATCATCTTGAGAGGATGTGAAAGGTGATCCAGCTACAACAATGCTGTATGATCCGAGTTGGGTAAAAGTGCATTTAAACTGTGTAGGTATCTGTCGTCCCAAGGTTCCTGAGTGTATACGCTTCTCTCTTACCTTGGAGAGAATTTCTCCTTGTGGATTGATCCGTCCAGGAACGTAAACGAAATCAACCATGGCGTACATGACTACACAGGGCCTCCGTGTGATCAGGGTATTCCGGTGATAGAACTGGCAAGGGGTTCTCTGTCACTTTTGAGTGTTCAGATATGTTCGGGGGTGTGAGACGGTTGGTGATTTGCATATCAAGTAGTCTTCATGACTCAAGGCAGGACCGGCAGATAGTGCTGATGGTGTATTGACGCGCTGATCGATTCCTACTGGCATCAAGATGTTCTTCAGTTCGCCCTCGCCTAAATTCTGCATGGCTTGATGAATTTTTCACATGGACACTGTACAACAACGGCATCACTCGCCCTCGTCCCGTATTTCAGTGTGAACGCATGATTTTGACCAAACGCGGGCATATTGGTGTTTGCGCGGGTGATTCTGGGTCCTGTACTCGAATTAGGCTGGTAAACAGGGTCATGATTGTAATGCAGGCATCCTCGTAGTCGACCCGTATGGACAGACTTGGGTCATTGCGCGTGCGTGTTCAACTGTCGACTAACAACTGGTGATTTATAGCGATCACATGCGTATGTATGAAACGTGATACGGAAATCGAATAGCAGGTCGAATGTTCAAGAATGTCGTTGTCAACAATGACAATGATTTCATCACAAGACTAGATGGTCGTGCATTTGGCCGCTAGCGAATCGAAAACAGTGAACTTTAGTTATGCTTTGGTGCGAATTAAGGAATACCAAGTTGAGAGCTGATGTCGACAATAAGTTCCCCTTTTGCGCAAACACTCTATGAACTGAAATGGAGTAGGATTTGGGGACGTTATGAATTAAGCTCGACTACTTGCCTATGACAGGACCGAGAGAAAAGCTATGAATGAATCTAAACAACGACATTTGATCATTGGGTGCCTTTGCTCCACACCATGCCCTTCAAGAGAAAAAAATTGTCGCAACGTCCCGAGACCCCCGTAGTGTGGAAGAAGGCAGTAGGCGGGGTTGGATACATGTATTCCGAAGGCAACAGAGCAAGTGGCCCCGAACACAACCCAAAGGCCAACCCACGAGTATAAGTGCCGAACAAAACCTAAAGTGGCCACCGAACATCAGGTAGTTACATAAACAAAGCATTACAATGATAAAAGGCTCTTTTATTAAAAAGCCATTGTTGTTTCTCGGGCGTAACAGGGATACGAATTAGGAAGTTTGGCTCCCCACACGGTTTGGAGACAAGCTATTACAACAGAAATATTACAGCCACTTAGCTGAACAAACTAATATCGCAGTAATTAAAGCTTAAATGAATGCCCAATATCGTAGTGCCAGTCAATGTTGTCGCAGTTGCGATCGCATGCACCTGCTGAGTGTAAAACTTTCCTGATTATCTACCAACTTTGATTATTGAATGAAAAAAAAAACAAATAATTTGCAGACCAATAACATATCCTACATGCGCCTACTGTTTCCCTCTACGTAGCCACAGTAGCTGTATTACCAATGTCCTCTAACTAATGCAAATGACACTTTCAGCCTATTTGCAACTATAAATCTGAGCTTGCACAACTGATGGCTCTTGCTAAACCACCGGAAGTGTTAAAAAAATTTGGGAGAATATGTAAAATTGCACAGGACAATGAGGAGTCCGATCCCGTCATTACTTACTATTGTAACTTCATATGCGGTCCATATTTTTTAGGTCGTTTATATGTAGCGAGTATGGGACTCAAACCTGAATTCAAATGCAAGGAGTCTCGCGAGTATATCACAAAGTTGTTGGATTACCTAGGCGAAGCCAAAGAGGCAAATTCTGGGGATCCGCTTTACACGGATGAGAAAGTTGGGCTGGAGTATATTGAGCGGCAAGCCTTGGACCACTTTACTGTGGCTTTCAGAAAGGATGAGGCTGGTGACTTTGGACCGTGAGTAGCCCAATGTTTTGCTTATATTTATCTAGCGCTACCGTGAGCAGTTTCCTTATCGCTGCTGCCTTGCTTGAAGTTCTTACCTTAAATGGAGAGACTAATGCTGAGGTAACCTACCTAATCCCATTTTCATGTGCATGTTTAGTTAACAAACGCCAGAAAATACGCAAAATACAAAATCCTTTATCTGATTGACTGCAAAAAACGCAACGTAAAACCAGTTGCAGGGCCTCTCACGGATGGCGACGCTTCTGTGATCCCTAGTACGTCTGAGACCTTCTTCAGAAATTTGTCCTTCACTTAGATATCGCGGGGTTACACCAAGACCCATTACCGTCCTCTTCACGGAAATCCCAACAAGATTCCGAGCTAGCAGAACCCACTGGACACGAATCTAAATCAAACGGGGAGAACAAGTCTGAGGAACTGTCCTCCGACGTCTGTGAGAAAGCCATGAAAGCCGCTAAGTTTGCTATTAGCAGTTTGCAGTACAAAGACCGGGACTCAGCTATTAATTACTTGAAGGAGGCACTAAATCTCCTCTCCATACACTAATTTACCAACTCACTTCTTTTTGCTTTTTGCCTTGTTCCATTCCCACGGATGTATACTTCAACGCTTTCTTTTGCATAAGTTGAGAAGGTTGACGTGATAAAATGGATATATTTCCAAAGAAGTACTAAGACTGTGTGTTGTCCGACTGCTCTACAGACTTTTGGTTCGTGTCGGTTTCTTCTAGTCGTTCGCACGGGGCTATATCGCCAGCTCGCGCATTTCTGAGGAAGAAGTAAAGTGTTCTAGGAGAAAAGAATAGAAATTAATGTTCCTATACCAAACTGTGCTTTGAAGTTGACGTTTGACAATCTACATATGAATCATCGTCATTGCCTTTGAGTTTGGATTCCGCGATGTAAGTGGACTAGATTGTGCTCGGCTAATTATTCACGTGGAATGCGTAAAATTAAATCACTGAATACATAAGAATTAACTCAAAGGTCGTCGTAAGGTCGTACCGATGTGTGCCCGACTTGGAGAAGACAACGCGTTCGCAGTCACCACTTGGCAGACATAAGTCAACATCGATCGCCGCGGCCCCGCCCACAGGAGTGGGAGACACGATACGGGGATGGGCGGACATCTCCTTCTCTTCCGTTGGCTTTCCCTTCTTCGTGAATCGCCTCCAATCGCCACGACTCACAATCAAGTAGCTGAAGGCTTCTTCTGATGGATAGGTTGCATCCTAATGGTAGACAAAGACCCAAAAAATATGGTCGATGGAAGTTTT